GGATATTCTTGGATCCAAGATTTCAGTGGAGGATATTCTTGGATCCATTTCTCCCATTTGGCCTCATGCTCAAGTATTTGAGAACACTTTTAATCAAAATACACTGTTATAAATAGTGAACACATTCTGGTATGTGCAAATTATAATAAAAATGAGAGATACAAAACAGAGATGAATAATCCTTGCTTTCAAGGAACTTAGAGGAGGACAAATAAGAAAAGGGTACCAATAAGTGACTGTAGTACAACTTTAAAACAAAATCTATGGTTATTTTGCTATATACTTTCTAAAAGGGAGTTTGCAGTTTATCTGCTATAGTAAAGATATTTTAGAATTGTGGTTATAATTGGACAATATAAAGAATTTTGTTAATGTTTCAATTACGTTTCCTTGAAAATACTGAAGTTCTACAGCACAGAAATGAACCTTTTATATTTTAATAATTATTACCATTTCTCTAACTTCACATTGTGTCAACCTCGTAGCCTCTTGTGACCAGTGCTTTCCTACCTTGGTACCTTTTCACATGTCCTCTCTACTGACTGTGCTCTATCTTGCTCTGCACAAGACTGGCTTCTTTTTATTTTTTAGGACACAAGGTAAATGAAAGGCTATCCCTGAACACATGATCTAATGTAGTCCTTTTCTTCCATTTTCTCTTGTTTATTTACTTTGTGGCACTTATCTCAATCCTTTAGGTACTTACTAAAATATTTGCCTTTTTAGTCCCCACTAGACTGCAAATGCCTTGAGGACGGATCTTCTCAATACTGTTCAGTTCAGTGTCACCACATTTCAACATAACAAGCACTTGATGTTTATTGAATTAGTGATAATGACAACTACCATAATACTGAAGTGTGTTGATTGCATAACCAATATAGAGAGTGAATATTATTTTCCCCATTTTGCAAATGAGGTAAAGTAATTTGCACAAGTCATTGTGCATAAATGGAAAGATAGGAATTTGACTCATGACTATTAACTCTTTGCAAAAGGAACTCTTTTAGCTTACTCATTTTTAATTTCCAGTTCTTAATACAGTGTTTAGTAAATATTTTTTAATGAAAGTTGTTAATTAAACTTAGGTTATTTTCTATTTTAAAAAAGTTTTATTTATTTATGCATGTAAGAGCTGGGGTATAGGCCAGACTTGTGGGGGTAAGAGGATTCACCAGAGACAGAATGGGGAGCAGAGCAGGCAGATCTACTGAAATACACTGCTGAGGGGAGCAGTGGGTGAAACAGGAGAGGTCCTCTGTGCCATATGGGACACGTCTCTGGCTGGGGATCGAATTTGTGCAGATAGCTTCATGGTACTGCAGCGTAAGCCACTGCACCACCACAGAGGCCGTATTTTCTTCTTTAAACAAACCACACTTTGCTCCAACCATAATTTCATTTATGTGAGTCATGAATTTTATCATCTGGATAGGCTTGTGAATTATTTATTTCTAGAGATATTTTTATAGATTTTCTACTATAATGCAGGTTTTACTTTTTGCACTACTATAATTAAACTCCAATAATAAGTAAATTTTCATCTGAGCTCTTCAAATCAAGCTATTTACTATATTAAGATAAAATACCTATGTTATGATAAAATAACCGTATATAAAATAACTCATTATTGAAAGTATATTATTAAAATTCCTGAAGACATTTAGTTCTATTTATTGCTTAAAAACCTGTCACAGATGAACTATATCACTTAGTCTGTATATATATCTTGATTTGTTTTCCCTCTTTAAATCAGACATTGATTAGATATCTTCTGTGTAAAGTAAAAGTATTTGATGGCATTTGTAATTTTAAATACTTTGTTTCCACAGATATGGTGTGTGGACAATTCGAGCTAAATATAAAGAAGACTTTTCAACAGCTGGAACCACATATTTTGAAGTTAAGGAATATGGTAACTTCTGATGATTCAAAGTTTATTTATAAAAAATTAATATTTTGCAATAATTCTTTTTATTAATGTACTTATTGCAAAATAACCCCCAAACAAGGATGAGGCAGCCTGATGATATGATCAAAAGTCTTGCTTAAGGGGTCAATGGAGAAATGGTCGTAGGAATGTTGGGCTCTAGTATCAGCATGCCCTTGTTTACTTTGAACAGGCAGCTCAACCTCTCTGTACTTAGAGTCCTCATCATAGGATTGGAAGAGACCTTGTCCCCTGAGGAGCTGGACTAATTAATGTCCTTTCCAGAATTATGATTTTAGAACACACTTAAGCAATCAGAGGGGATAAACAGAATGCAGTAAGACTAGTAAATTATTTATCCAAGTTATTTCAACCAATTAGTGACAGAACAAGAACAACTGGATTTCCTTATCCTTATTCCAGTGTTATTTTCCTTCTGTTTCATAAATCCCTAATACATTTATTTGCAACTTAAGATATTTTTATTTTGAAATCAATCATATTAATGGGTTAGCTATTAATATATAAATCATTTAATGTTTCCACTTTTTGTAGTTTTTTACTAGAGTATTTCTGTGCTCTGCTAACAAATGTAATTTTCTTCTGCTTGAAGTCATTTTCTTTTCCCCAGAAGACTAAGAAAAACATGTAGAATAAATATAAAAGTGTTATTAATTAACAGACAAAACAGTTAGTTATAGAAGATATGATTAAAACAGGTTATTATTTTTAAAGTTGGGTTTCAGTATAGTAAATTGATTTTATTTATATAA